TTGGATTGCGTAACGTCCCCATGCTCAATAATCTCTTTGTAACGAGTGCGTAACACTCTCTGTGCATCAACGTCCATCTCGCAGCTGTATCTCTTTCTCACTGGAACTCCCAAATACCCAAGCGTTTCCCAACAACCTCCGGTATCGTCCCCCAAAAGAGAGGACGACGAGCCCATCACCCTCCCCAGGGACTGCGGTAAAAGGGAGATTTTGGCGACGGATGTTGCAAGGTTCATTCGCCATGGCTTCCTCCAGGTGTGAGCTAGTAACACGTCAAGAAGCTTAGGCAACTTGGTGTCTCTTTCCCTCATCAAGTCGGCTAGCATCGCCCCTTGGAGGGGTCTGACCACAACCATGCCCTGCATCTAGTTTTTCATTGTACGTTATTTCTCGCTCTCGACAATGTCTTGAAGGCTGCATTCATAATCTCAAATCTATCTTCCCATTTTATTGAGAAAACATTCACAAGCAGGAATCCTTTTGGTTTCGTCTCGTTTATTACTCTTAGGATGTTCACACATTTTCAGTACAATTTTTCCTCTCCCCGAAAACTCAGACATAGCCAAATTCACATGCATTCTTCTCGGGTCATTCCTCCCGGCCTTTCTCAGGTCCTGCCAATTCCGCATGCATATCACCCCCTGCCCTTTTTTGCCCTTTACTTAATTGACTTTTCACGTGCAATGTTTGGTTCAACCCTTAGCCACTTCTCATCTTTTCAAGCTTATACGAGTGGATTACACAGCCAACTCTCAGTCTGCCAGTTCCAGTTCATACCATGTCACTTGCTCAAGTCCTTTCTGCGCTGGTGTCTTGCCAGACCCCCTTTTCTCAGGCCTATACAAGTCAATTACAACCTTTTTTCTGTTCCGGCCATCTTGACAGGCCCCTTTTTCACAAGCCCATGCAAAATCAATTACAAGTCTTATTTTCATGCGTATTTATTGGTGGATGGCACACCTTCCTCCCACTCAAAACGCGATGTCCCCATCGCGCGACTGGTCCTCACTCGGAGGCACGAGACCTTTGGTCCACCAACCGCAAGTCAAGGACACAAGCCCATCCGCTTCACAAAAGGAACAGTGATCAGTTCCTCCCCAGCGGACGACGCCTCATCCTTCTACTCGGTCCGACCTTTCTTCTCTTATGTGGCGAGCACAAAAACTGAGGTTCCTCCCCGCGTCTATCAGGTAGGTCCAATCCAAGCCTGCCAGGGCCTCGTCTAGCCGTAAGAGTGTTCCTCGTGAATCGTTCCTCCGGAGTGGTGATTTTATGGATTCCAGCCTCTTCCTTTCAAGAGAGTTGGGGCTCTCGATCAGTTCGCGAGTGCAGTTAGGAAGACCTCGCAATTAGTCCCGAAACGGTTGTAATGTTCCGGCGGGGCAGTGTCAATGCCCCATGGTGGTGGCGGACTTCACCCGGTACCTCGCCCGCCTCTCCCCTTGGACAGTGCCGCCCAACTTAGCGCGGGCAGCCGTGGTCCGACCCAAACGGCCATGCCACCCCTCTATGACATGGCGTGTGGTTGGAGAGTAGCAAAATAGACTAGATGAGAATGACTTTCCTGCCCATTTGGCTCTCTCGCCCTTTGACGTTTAGGCGTTCAACAGGAGGCGCAGTTGGAACTCCCCGACTAGAGCTCATTATCGGAGGTGGTTCCGGACGTCCCGCACCGATCCAAGTGGTGCGTGCCTTAGTCCTTTAGCCCTCACCCGCTTACAAGAGGGACATGTCGCGCTAAGACTTTTTCCCTCAAGGAGATAGAGGTCTTTGGGGTCGCGGTGCATGCGCCGATATCCCCCTCTTGCTAAGGCCAGAGACTAGAAGAAAAGAGAAATTTCATTTCAAGGCTCTTTCCAAGTCCATTTCCAGTTGCCTAGGGTGCCCTGTTTATGCAATGCCTTTTCCAATGTTCAATTCAATTTCGATGCTCAGTCTCATTCCCAGGCTCAATCTCAGTCCAGTGCTCATTCTCAGTTCAATGCTCAATGTAATATCTCTTCCACGGTTGAGTCCAATATCTCTTCCAATATCTTTTCCAAGGCTCAGCTCTTCCAATCTCTTTTTCAAAGTTCCGCTCTTCCAGTTCTGTGCATCACAGGCAGCCATGCAAGGGGACCCAGTGCCATTTCCAAAGAATGACCCTTGTCAGGGGCCATTCCGAACAACCTGGTTAGGGTCGTTTTTTCCATTTCCAAGTCGAACAGCCTGGTTAGGCCATTCTTATCCATTGCAACCAATCAGCCTTGTTAGGACCATCCTTATCCATTTCAATTGGGCAGCCTGATTATGGTCATCCTTGTCCATTGCAATGTTAGCGCCCGAGGGGGTGGGCCTCAAGGACACGGATCCTATATCGTCTCGGGGGTTAGAAGGCGGCCATCGTCTTGGGTTTTTACGCATGCTTCTTCCTTTTCCTTATGTCTTTTGTCGTTCTCACAATCATCCATACATCGACTTAGCGTCTAGTACTCAAGTTGGGGCTCGCGGCCCCAAGCAGCACTAGCTCGCCCGACCGTTCAACCATTACAAGGGCTGCTGGATCATTTCAATGTTTCCTTGCCACTTTTCTGACTTCTCATATGCTTCTCAATGCTCTGGGATTGCTTGGGGTAGGTTGGATTAGGCTCCTAGAGGAGAGGGTGCCTCTCTACCCATAGGTCCCCTAACCTCCCACAAGGACTCGTGGAGCGACTCATAACTCAAGGGAAAAACTTTCGCCATGAATATTTCTTTCAACGTTCAAGAGTTCACATGCACCTGTCCATTTCCTTGAGGCAAAGTCAATCAGCCCCCAATCTCTTCCTTTCTACCAAAAGACTCATATTTCCCAAACAGAGCGAGTACTTATATAAAGTACCCGACGAGTTTCCTTGATCCAAAAAGTAGTTTCATCCCATTCCTTAAAAAAAACAAGGAGACAGAGTTCGAATGCAAAGACAACATTCGAGACTCGTCTCTTCTAAGTCCCTCTGTTTTTCCATTTTCCTTCCCCTTAGACATCCCAACCATTCACAATTCTATTGTAATTTGCAAAAAAGACCTCCTGCCTTTCCCTGAAGAAGCAACCACTCGTACAAAGTAGCACTGATTATCCAGTCCTTAGTCATTTCGAGCTTAGAAGATGCATTCTTAAAAAGAGTTCAAATGCGAAGTCCAAAATGGCAGCTCTGACTGCCCAGGGACCAAACCCTCCCAACTCCTAGCTATTCCTTATTACGGCTGTTGTGCCTCTATCGTCCAGGTGGTCTGCGTTGAGCCTCCCTCCTTGCGCGATCCTCCATTTCCTGCTCCATTTGTCTCTTTATTCCTTGGCACTGGAGGAGTGTCCGTTCTGTGAAGAAGGTTGTTGGGGATAGATCCTCTCCCCTGCCCAACTTTTCTCTTGCCTTCATAATCCACTGATATCGCAAGATAGTGCCCCATTGATCAAACCAATCGCTAAACTCAGGTCCGAACTCTTCTATCCATTTGTCCATTTTCTCACCCGGCTGCTCCTTTCTTCCCCGTTCTTCCCTTGTGGGCGTTGTTACCTCATCTTCCTTCTCGTCGCTGGTGAGGTCAATGAACTCAACGTGCTCATTCTCTCCCGGTCATTGTCCTTCCTCCGGGTTCCCCTCTTCCTTACTACTAGGGTCACTGTCTGAAGGCAGCTCTATTGGCTCCCCTTCCTTCAGTGGTGACGGTCCTCTGGTCCCTTGCTTTCTCCCCCCCTTGTTCACAACTAGGTTGTGATCGAACCTCACATGCAACTTCCTTTTTTTGGAGCTTGACTCTCCAGTTTGCCTTGACGACTGTCCCTCTTCCGGCCTGTTAATTGCATTGTCGTCATTTTCATTCCCAAACTCCGTTGTTTTCTTGTTGTCTTTCTTCTTCTTGCCTGACCCTGTTCATACATAACAGTCACGGTACCCCTCATACACACGCATTCCCTTCCACTCCCATTTGCGGATTTGGAGGCTTCCCTAGAACTCTTGCTTGCCCCCATATAGTTGGTAGCCCTGTTATCCCTTAGAACCCTCGACACATTGTCTCAACACATAGGTGCCCCATGTAGGCAGTCCACAACATCACCCCACAAAAACTGTGGTACATTGTCCCAGCACATAAAATACCTCGTGTAGACAGTCCCCAGCGTTACCCCACAAAAAAAATATAATACACTGTCCTGTGCTCCCAGGCCCAGTCACAGTCAGCCCAGACAGTCTCCCCACGTTCCACAAAAGTCAAGACACACAAACGAACAATCCTTGTGGTCATGATCACTTTCGCAGGGAGGCGGTCCAAAACTTATAGTCAGCTGCCTACCTTTCAGGATGTCAGTTCCCCAGTTTCCCTGTCCTAGGCCTCTTGTAGCCATTGTTCCACCGGATCCCTGCTCAAAAATCTGACCAATCTCTGTCCCGGAAATGACCCTCTTATGCTAGTATCATCGAGATCCTCAAGTTCAAATGTGTTCAGTCCCACCCGCTTAGAGATCTGTAAGGCCCTTTGAATCTTTTCCCCAGCTGTCCGGACCATGTGCTTTCAAGAGCCGAGTTCCTAACTAGCACCTTTGGAGTGGCTCCTTCCGAATGTTCTTGACTTGGTCCCATCTTGCTTTATCCCTCATTCGGCTGTCCGTCACACGATTGACTACTTCCTCGAGTGCCTCCTCATTTCTGGCGACCTGCTGACAACGTGCGGTGATTAACTCTTCCGTGCTCAAGTATGGGTCGTTGTCTAGCCTGTTCCAGGTAGGGACCAAAGCTTCTATCGGAAAATCGATCTCCCTTCCATACCAGAGTTCTGCTGGAATACACCCCCTTGTTCTTTTTGGAGTCATGTTCTCGGCGAAGACTGCCTGCTTGAGAAACTGTGGCCAACTTCCCAGATTATCTGCTGCCAGCTTTGTGATTGTGTTATTCAAAGTCCGGTGACCCCTTTCTACTGGTGCATTTGCCTCAGGATGGTAAGGCTTGGTAATCTTGATCGGTACACACAGTGTCTTAAGCCTGTTCAACACTTCCTGGTTAACGAATTATGTCCCATTGTCCCCTATAAACCTGCGCACGAAGGGGCGCCTTAGGTAGAAATCTTCCACCCAGTCGGCCACTGCTTTCCCTGTCTTCTTCTTGAGGGTTACGACTTCTACATAGCCACTGAGATTATCCCTTGCATCCAAGATGTATCTAAACCCATCCGTTGATACGGGCATAACGGCAAGGTCGAGGTGAACAAGGTGTCCGGGTCCCAGCACCAGGGTGGGTCTAAGGGGCTCGTAAACTCGTACGACGCTCCTTTCTTGACATATCAGACACGTTTGACAATACGTTGCGACCATGCTTGCCATCCCTGGCCAAAAGTAGAGGGGCACGATCTTCGCAAGTGTTCTCTTAGACGACCGGTGACCTCCGGCTAACCCATCATGCATTGCCTGAATTACGTCCAGCTGCCTATACCTCCCACAAATGACGCGTCTAGGTGTCATCCCTTCCTCTTTCTTGAACAGATGGTCATTTCTTAGGACACACTTTTCTACTTCCTCCCTTGCCTCGGGACTGACTTCCGTGGGTTGTTTGTTCCCTACAAGCAGTCGACCGATTTCTTTGAAGACGCCCTCGTACATCTGTATGAGGAAGAACTCTTGTTCCTTCTGATCCGTACCCTGCTCCTCCTGAGTGAGGTTGACTAGGTACTGACACTCCTTCTGTGCCCAGGTTTCGGCCAACGTCATCACGGCGTCCCGTCCCCCTTCGACGGTCATTGTCATCAGTTCCTCTCTGACCCCTACTTCTGCTCCCCACGAGTCTTTTTCCTCTCTGCGCCTGACCGTGGTGACTGGTCCTTCCCTGAGTTCTGCAACCATTGCAGGTGTGCCCTTTTCCAAGGTCTGAATCAGCAACTGACCTGTTGTAGTTGCTGGATCTGCCATCTCATGATCCACATGAAGGGTCCCTCCTTCGTATTCCAGGAAGGCGTCAATTGGTTCCTCGTCCTCTACCCCTTCTGGTGTGATACATACCCTGCTCAGCCCATCTGCCCTATTTCGAAGCCCTGCAATTCGCTCGACCTTATAGTCGAATTGCCATATGAAGCCTATCCATCTACCAACGGTCGGGTCTATAGGCTTGTAGTTCTTCAGGGCCCCGGCAACGTTGGTGGGATCGATCCTTAGGATAAATCGTCTTCCGAACAGGTATGCCTGGAAGGTCTTAAGACCATGCAGAATCGCTAAGACCTCCTTCTTGAACTGTGAGTACCGCCGTTTTGCCGAATTCAGGGTCCTACTTTCAAATCTGATTGGCCTTTCCTTGCCCTCCTCGCTTCTCTGTATCAATACTCCTCCAACTGTCAGCGGTCCCCCGTCTGTTTCTAAGATGAAAGGTCGTCCTTCCTTGTTATTGAAACAGGGTGTTGCTAGAGTGACCTGATCAGATGACAGGATGTCTTTCAGGGTCGGGGCTGCCGCTTCCCTATCCTCGGTCCAATTCATAGTGTCGCCTTCCCTAATAATTGAGCGGATAGGCTCTGCTATCTTTGCGAATCCTTTGATGAAGATCCTCCAGAACGCAACCACCCCTAGAAAGGCTCGTACTTTCGTCGTGGTGCGTAGGGGTGTCGGCCACTGGGAGATCTTATCCGTCTTTGCTGGCTCGGGTCTCCTCCCATAAGCTCCACAGCGAAATCCCAATATGGTTACTTCCGGGACGGCCAGGATGCTCTTGGGACCACTTGCAGTAATATTGTAAGCAAGGAAGCGCTGGAGTAGGTCCTTAATATCTTGCAGGTGGTCCCAAACAAACTTTCGTACGCCCGGCTCAACCTCCGTCTCGTCCTTGTACCTTGCGCCTTTTAYGGGATTATCATCTATATACGGTTCACACTTTTTCGGAAACATATCCCCTGCGACGGCGAGCATCCTTTTTTGCGCCTCTGCTACCACATTTGTAAAGCCCATAGGGGTCACTTGCATCTGCAGCTGCCCTACGGGGGTGTGCATTGCGGTGTACGGTCTATCCCTCGCATCGAGCGGCAGCCGATCATATCCTGAGTACAAGTCTACCAAGGAGTAAATACTCCGCCCCGCATGAGATTCTGCCAACAAGTCGGCCTGTGGAAGCGAGCCTGCGTCCCTAATTGTTACCGCATTGAGCTTCTGCAGGTCCTGGATCCACCTGAGCGTCTTATTCAGCTTTCTGAACACGAACCACTTGTTCGCGTAGGGGGATGCGGTGGTTCAGCCACGAAAGAATCTATCTTAGCTCTAAGCAGGTCGGTGACCTCCCCTGCTATCCCAAACTCATAGGCGGACCCTTTATCATTCCAACACTCGTGCTGTATGGTATGGATCTTGATAGGGGGAACTAGCTTTGCGTCCAATCGCCCTTTCTGATGATCGTTGAAAGCGAAAGCTAAATGAAACTCCTGGGATGCCTTTCTTATCAAATGAGTTTCTTCCGTTGTTAGAAACCCTTCCACTCCTATTTTCATGGTATCTGCTACCCCATCTGGTATGCAATGCCCTTCCGTTGCGCGTCTCGCCCTTATAACCTGTAGGATCTCCTCCTCTTTCTCCATGGCCTCTTCCTTTGATGTTTCTACTAGGATCGAGACCGGCTTGGCCTTCTTTCCTACGGGTTTGTATTTTCGCACACTGCCTTCTGGGATCGTTCTCCTAAAAAATGAACGGTCGGAATTGACCTTGCTATTTCCATGATACGGGGTTGAATGCTAACTATCTTCCCATTCAGGCAGTAGCCTTTTCGAACCTCATCCTCAAACTTGGCAAGCGCTGCCGGGTCCACCCCCACTTTATTGTACCTGATTGCCTTAACAAGTTGCAACAAGTCTGGGATTTCGAGCGCTAGCTCGGGGGTCTCGTTACGGCCTTCCTTTGGCTTGGGCAGGCTGGCCCCAAGTTCAACTTCCTGCTCCTTTTCCGCCACCATAACCCCCAGGTACTCGTGCTCAGACCTCCTCTTCTTTACGGGCAGACCCATCTTGATCCATTCTTTTTTACTAAAAGCCTCCTCGATCATAATTTCTACTCTTTCCCTCATGCCTTCCATCCGTGCGAATGCCCCCTTCTGCGCACTTTCTTCGAATGTTGGAGACCAGATTCCCAATTTGCCCTTCGGAGGGTCCCCTCCGGTCCCAAGAAGTCGGAGGAGTTCTCCGCAGCCGGTCACAGGGTCCTCTATGTCTACCATGTATGTGTCGTCGTGCAGATGCATTCCTATCATTTCCACATTGGCGCACCACGGTCTCTCGAGTATTACGTCGTGGTCCATTTCTTCCATCACGGTCATCCGCTGAAAGGACCAGATGGATTCCCGGATTCCCGCCCTGACTGCACATTTGGTGACATACCCTGTGAAAGGAATTTCGCCACCAACTCCCCGGATACTCCCTGGTACTTCCTTGTTTACTGTGTACCCCGTGACCGTTGCAAAATCTCGTCGTATGAGGGTGATTTCTGCTCCGCCGTCCACTAACGCATCAATGTGGTGAGTTCCGATTTGAATTTTAAGTTTCCCAACTGATAATGCATGAAAGCTAAGCTTTGTCCCGGGTGGCGCCCTCATGACTTTGCCACCTTCACGACCCGGTAGGCTTAGGCGGATGTCGGCAAAAACTTTCTTCAAATCTCCCAGGGCCCCTGGAATGCTTTGGAGGTTGGAGACTCCTTGCGGCGCCTCAGCGTCTTCCGTGTCCTGCTCTTGCAGTTTCGGGGCCTCCTCTATCTCTACGCGCTTACGCGTTAGCAACTACCTGAGTCCTTTAAGCAGCCTCGGGCTGGTTTGCAGCATGGTCTGAAAGGACACCGATACCATGGTACCCAATAGCTTACTCAAGGTGCCATCGATTTCTGGAGAAGTCAGGATCGGAATTTGATACCTGAACTTCTTCTTTGCCGCCGTAGCCTCGTCTACCGGTCCGTCCTCCCTTGGCTTCCCATAGACCTTCTCTTGCTCCCCGGCTTCGGTCTCTTGCTGACCCGTACTAGTCCCTGAGAGTTCTTCCATTACTGTATCTTGAATAAGCTTCTTTTCTGCGTCGGCCCGACGAGTGGTAATATTTACCCTATCCTGGCCATTGCTTTCTAGGATAAAATTGGCCTGTTGTCCCCGTTCACTTGGCTCGTCCCAGACAATCCCGGCTATCGGCTCTGCTTCTACGGCAGCTATCTCTAAGTTATTCTGAAGGATGATGGCTCGCCGCATCCCTCCTGGCGAGTTCCAATTGACACGCTCCCCCTGGGTTCGAGGATCTTGCCTTTGAGGGACCTGCTGCACCTCTGCCGCTCGATATCGTGATTGAGTCTCGGACAGGCCCGTACGAAATGCGTGATCATGGTGCAATACTTGCATTGTTCATTGGCCGGGTCCCTCCTGCCAAACCCCCGGTTTGCTACAGCTGCAGGAACCACGGCCTCTTGGGGCGGGAGGGCGGGTCTGGACACTTGCGCCTGCATCACTAACAACGCATTTTCCATTTTGTCCATCTTGTTGTCAACCCCGTGCACCCGTTCGTGTAGGCTCTCTATCCCCTTCTTGACCTTATCCCCCGTCTTCCCGGTCAGATTTATGACCTCCCCTTCCTTAAGCAGGGCTAGCGTCTCGGTGACTACTGTCTTTTCCGCAAGGTGTGTTACGGTGCTGAAGTCCACATCTCTCGTGTATCCGAACTTACTGGTCTGATGGTATGCTGACATAATTCGGCCTCTGTCGCCATTTTCTCTGCCTTCAGGTATTTCCTCATCATCTCATTCCTGGTTTCTTTCCAGGATCCACTGGAGGCGACGATGGCCATAATGTCCCTTCCCAAGCTTAGCGACAAGTGCTGCCCTAGGTGCTCCATCTTTTCCTCTTCCGTCCATTTCAGTAAGGCTGCTAGGTTCTCATAGTCAATTGGAAATTCCGTAATGTTGGCCCCATCGAACGTAAGTTTCTTCTTTGCATCTGCAAGATACCCCTGGTTCTTGTTTAGTGTCCTGGTGAGGGTGACGATTACCCTCTTGAGACCATCTTCGGAGCCACCTGCTTCTCTGGCCGCACTGGTCCCTTCCCCTTCGTTGCTTTCCCTCTGCTTCTCCCTGGTTTTCGGTGTTCCTTCTGGGTCGAACCATCCTAGCACTTTTTTCCTAAGGTTCCAGAGTCCGTCACACGCCCCTGTTACTTTCGGCGTGGCGGGCAGTCTGCTAGTGCCGCTATCGATGGCGGGKGGGGKCATAGCGTTTTCCGTCTCCTCTGTCGGGGGGTCGTTCTTGTCCTTCCCCTTCTTACTAGGCGTTTCTTTGTGGCTATTATTCTTCCCCTCATACCTAGCCTCGTCCTGACCGGTCCTGCGTCCCTCACGTGACCCTGCGCCCTGGGGTTCCTCTTCATCCTCGGTCATCATCTGCTCGATAAGCCTTGCCTTAAATTCCGCAGTCTGCTTTTCTATCTCTGCCAATTTACGACTGCCCTCCGAGACTTTTGTCTTTTTAGTGGTGGCTCCTGCTGAGTTTCGAGGGGTTGTTCTCATATCGTTTCCCCCTTCCCTGTTTTTCTGAGGTCCCCTTTTGCTACCCCCAGCTTTCCCCAAGCTTTCTCCAATTGAGGCGTCCTTTCCGTCTTCTCGGGTTCCTTCCAGTTTGGCTGACTTTCGATCCCTTGTTGATCCCTCGTTTCGTTCCCCATCCCCATTCGTGCCCTGATTCCCTCCGCTCTGCTGGTCATCGATTCCTTCCTCAGTCGCCATTTCTTTACCTAGCCTACACATGGAATTTTTTTTTTACAAAAAAGTGGCCGGTTGTTCATAACTGACCTAGTCCCGGCCCTAAATCCCGCCTATTCCCATGTTTTTTACGTTTTATATTAATCGGTCTGATTCTCCTGACTTTTCTTTCCCAGGGCGTCCTTCAGGTTTTTCTCCCGCCAGGGAACTTGCCGCCGCTGCTTGGCATTTTTTTACTGTCGCGCTTTGGCTCTTAGGGCGGTCTTTAAGCCCAGTGGCCTCCTTATCGACGATGGCCCTTTTGGCTTTTCGACCTCCAGGTGCCCCAGGATTTTTGGAACGGGTGGTCTTCCTAGTTCCTCCCTGCCGCATCATTGAGTCGGTCGGAACTCCAACCACTGTCCCTCTTTTGGTGATAGCTGCCTGCTTATCCTAGTACCCATCCTTTATTTCCCTACCTCTTTCCGACACGTTTTCTCATGCTGGTCCTTCAGGCCTGCCCTACTCATCCAGTTCCTCGAACAGGTCAGCCAACCTAGCAAGGTAATTTTCCCCTATCTCTATTTCCCTGACAATTATTGGCTCATATTCTTCAAACGACAGATGGGGCAATCCGAATATCAAGATCTCGAGTAATTCGAGTAGTTCCCAGGCCTGATTCCCCCAGAACGGCCCATGTCTAACCGATACATCGTAGAACATGCTCGTTGTTTATGGCCGGAAGAGGTGGATCCAGACCAGGGTCGAATCCAGCAAGTCCCTAGCTCTCTTGAGGCTACCGAATACCAAGTCCACCATGAAATGAGGCACTCGACACCTTAACCCGGTCATTGGGGCCTTAAACTCTCGCCAGCCTCCGATCTCCACCCGAGTTCTCAATCCCACGTTTCTTCTCCTCCGCACTTCCTGGCCCACCCTGCTCAACATCCTAGTGGCCCTCTGGAAGATTGGTAGCAACCCGTGACCAAGTGTCAGTTTCGTTCCTAGCATGTGCCATCCAAGTTCCGACAGGTATATGGTCCCTGTTACCCTAAGATCGGTATACAAATCGTCTCCCGGTCCCCTGTTAATTCTCATACCATCCCACAAACATTCCACCATCATGAATGTCTGACCTCTTCCCAGGGTCACGGCCCTCCATTCGATGTCCAATCCTTGGATCGTGTAGCTTGCTGGGAGCGATACCTCCCATCCGTCTCCACTTTCCATGGGTGGCCGCGGGTGTGTGAACCGTCGCAACATCCGAGCGCGTCTCATCGCCATTTTTGACTTAGTAGTCCCCTGCACAGTTTAAACAGCAAGCGGTTTTACTTATTTCATTTAATCTTTAGCCCCCGCCCCAACACTCCCCGGTTTCTAGCTTGAACCTTCCTGTTCTTTCCTTGACCTCTTTCATTGGTCCGTCCCTACGTCCATCAGCTCATACAATCGGTACAGATCATCCACATACCCCATCCCTCGACTTATTTCCCGTCGGATGACACCCCACAGAACCTCACTTCCCACGACCGAAGCCCTCGGCCTGGTGCTAAACACAACACGCAGGATGCGCAACACCTCGTACTTTTGCTCTCCACTGAACGGGCCCATTTCTAGGAAGACTCGATAGTATTCTCGATGTACCATCGCATCTTCATATGTCAAGCTTGCGAGGTCGGCTACTGCTTGTCTAATAAGTCTCAGACCGCCCAGTCGTTCCAGCAGGAAGGGCGGCAGCCTCATTCGTACATTTTCACTAGGCAATTCGAAACTCCCGACCATGGCTACCCTAAGATCCGCTGTTACATCGTCAACCCCCGGATCTCCGAACTCAAACCCCGCTCGCCATAATAACTGCCATGCCCTTTCAAACATGCTCAACGGGTCTTCTCCTGATGCCAGCCGAACTCCGAACTCCCTCCACCCATCCTCTGACACATACAGTCGTCCTTCTGCACGCACATGCCCCCGCGGGTCCGGGTTCCATTCCCCATTCTCATCCGCACGCTACTCAACTTTCGTCACCAAGTAGACCATATTTTCCGCAAGCTCGACCCCAACCCAATCTGCCACCTGGTGCCAGCCTTCTCTTGCTGTCGGCAAGCTAACCTCTACCCCACCTGGTACTTCCCTAGGCGGCTCAATGCCCAAATGACGTTCCTCGAGGAACGTCCTTCTTCGCGCCATCACGCACTCGCGTTTGATCTCCTGGCTCGCAATCCGCACTGAACCCTACAATGGTCAGACATCCCATTCCCTTGTCTTAGCAATTTCCCCTTATTTGCCTGGCCCCACGACTTTCCTGCTTTTAGTCAAACCACAGTACCTCGAACAGTTTGAACACATCATCCACATAGCAAGGTGTTGCTGCTACCTCACGGCGGATTATGGCCTCCCTAGTTTTCGGGGCCACCTCTTGTCGGTCATTCCTTTCGATATCCAAAATGATAAGGACTTCCTGTGCTCTATCGCCATGGAAGGGCCCGTATTTCAAGGACGCCCTATAGAATTCCCCTGCCAGCCATCCGCAGTTTATGTGCATTCGCTCCATCGTGTCGGCTACCTTTGTTATGTGATCCAAACCCCCAAACCAGTCCGCCACGAACTCGGGCACCCAGGTCTTGATCCGGGCGCCAGGCGGCTTAAATTCCTTTCATCCTCCCATCACGACTCTACTGCTGATCGTATCCCAACCTTTGTTAGCAAACCTTTCCCCCGCCTGCCGAGCCCTTGTCTCAGCGTCCCCTAAAAGCCACATTGGGTTCTGTCCTGCCGCGAGCGTTGTGCAGAACAAGTGCCAACCTTGTTTAGAGAGAACGATCGTCCCGACTGATTCCACCCCTCCTACAACAATCTCTTCCCATCCTTCCTCTTCCCTCAACGGGTTCCAGACACGCTCCATCCATAGGTACGATAGCTCCGGCACAATCTCATACCCCCGCCAATCACATGTGATCCCCTTCCATTCGTTGCTCGTCGGTATTGACATCTCTATTCCCCTTCCGACTCGTCTTGGTTCCCATGTGCAGCCCCATAATTCGAGTTCCCGGGCCATCGCTCCCTACTTGCACATAGTCGACAACCCGTTTCCCCCAGGTAAGCCCCCCCCCTTCAGAAGTCCCAGTCCTCCATCTCGTCCCCGTCCTCCTCATCACTTAAATCCTCCTCCTCACCTAAAAACATCTCTTTCACCCCTTCCAAGAAGGTTTCCCCTGCCGCCACATTTCGGTAAACTATCTGCCAATACACCGGACTAGGAACAAAAACTTCATCCGCGCTGAGGAGGTTTAACATCTTAGCTAATTCTTCCGCCCAGTTTCCTTAAAACGGCCCTGCTTCCACCGACAGCCTAAAGAAGTCATGTCTAGCACATTGGTACAGCCTCAGGCGTGTCATCGATTGGCATATTCGTTTCAGTCTATCCCTTGTCCCAAAGACTGCATCCACCAGGAACGGGGGTTGCACGCACCTCATTGCCCTGAGGGGACGTCTCATATTTTTCCGGTCCCCGAGTTCCACTCGCACCTCCATCCTTTCCATCTCCATTTTTGCCCGCTGACATGCTGCCCATACCACTTCCCGTTCCGCTTACCTAAACAACTGATCCGGTGCCGTGCCCAATACTAGTCCCACTACCATTGCATTTTCCAATTCTTGTGACAGGTAGACCCACCCTCGACCGTCCACTGTTCCTCAAAATTCTAGGTTCATCAAGCTAGGTGAGAGTCTCGTCAAGCTGACCTTAGTCCAGATTGTCTCTATCCAGAAGAACGTGCCCTTCTCGTCCAGCATCACGGTTTCATAGGCTGGTTTTAGGTCGGTCCACGTCCCTTCTTCCGGGAGAACCACAGATACCCCATCCCTTACCTCTATAGGTATTTTTGGACCACTAGAGTAGACAGGAGGCGACAACCATCGCGCCATCTTGTTTCCCGGCGCTTGTCCTATTTTTCACATGAAAGCACCACACGGCCCCTCATTGTCAGATGGTTTGCTTTTCCTTTTCTAGATGAGAGTTGTTTTCAGACCCCTCATCTGGGTCTCCCTAACTTTTCCTATCCATTTTCTAGGCGCCATTGCCCTACCATACCCCCAATCGATCATCAGCCGCTTGCATTCCTTTTTCTTGGTTCCACTTTCTTCTGACTCCTAACCAGCCTCTTCCTCACGTTCTCTCACTCGTGCAGACTTAGGCAGGGGTCGAGAATAGACTAGAAACTCGGTCCCCATCCAACATTCATCAGGCAACTTTACAGAGGGAGGTACAAAAGAAAAACCAAGCAGTCATCGCACACAGGCCGATCATCTCCTCACCAGCCTTTTCCCCAAAGTGGTCTCTCCACTGTTACTATTGGCAGAGTTTTGTCCCATACCTCAAGCACAGTTCAACCGTCGCGAGCGCGGTACCCAGGTCTCGGCAAGGCATTCGCCCTTTCCTCCTTACCCAGAATACCCCATCCCGACTTGCCGCTCATGTACCCACCGTTAATCTCGGGAATCACCCCGCACATCTCGGTAGGCCATTGGAGCCAGCCGTCTAGGCACTCACATCCATCGCTCCAATAAGGAACAACATTTCCCAAACCAGGCTACGAGAAGCTACTGATCGCCACCCAGGCTCCGTCTTTGCCCACATGCAGTGGTACTCCCTCCGCCAGTCCACGGGCTAGACCCCGCCTGAGGAACGTTTCACGCCCCGCCCGGCAGATCAATCGAGTCGAAGCCCGTCACCGCGCGGATGAGAACGCTAATAAGCACTCGACGTGACAAACTCCCGTTAGACAGCTCGATGGTCTGACCCCCGCACACAAACAAACGGCAGTCTGCAAAGAGAACGATGTTTGGCAACCCACAGTGGCCGGTGCAGACCCCCCCTTTCCATCCAAATAACAGGATGCTTGAAATCCCAATCATGCAATCACAAGTCCCAAGTGGGACACACATAATCATAAGTGCCTTTCCCCTGGTGCACCCAACGCTCCTACCCATACCTCACAATTTTTCTCTCGGGACAGCGCGTGCCACTCACCCCTAACTTCCATACATAGTGCCCGGTTCCTTCTCGTGAGCATCTTCAAAGGTGAGCTAGTTTTCCTCAGAGTCTAGCAACTCCCTTCATTCCCTTATCTTCGCTTGCATGTCCGTTCATAGGGCAGGATTGTTCCTTTTCAATTACCTTTTGTGTTCATATGAGGTTCCTTCAAGCAATAAGTGTGGTGAATAGAGCCCGCTGGGCTCCGAAGAGGAGATGAGAAGGCACCCAGGTCGGTCGGATCACTCCGCCGCGGGATTTTCATCGGAACCCGGACTAGCCCGGAATCCCGATCGCCTACCAGGTAACCGGAGCCCTTCTTTCGCACGAAGAGGAAGGGTCGACCTGCGGCTTGCCCAAGGCTTCCCCGGCCTGACGGAAATCAGTTCAAGGGAAGGAGGACTAGAGTCATCTCCAAAGGAGACGGCTGATCAAAAGTGCAAGCATGCATGTTCTTCCTCCAGGCCTACCCTTGCCATGCGCCCAGCCACCCTCAAATCTGATTCGCTCAAAGGAATAGAGCACACACAAGTCCTCATTCCTTATCTTCATGTTTACATTCGTGGTCATCCGTATGGGTCATTTTAACCCACTACCCGGCGCCTCTACCATTTTTGTAGGGGCCTTACCCTGTAGGACTTTCGAGCCTCGGTCAACCCCACTCCGGGTCTCATTTGGCTCGACCCGCCCACCCTCACGCCCAGGGTGCAGGTCGTTCGCCCAGGGGCACCCCCACCTAGTGCTATGAAATGGATGGGGATGGGCCTTTTTGCGAGAGGGCTTTACATTGGGGGATGTAGCTCCGCTCTCGCGTCAAGATGGTAGCTCTTTGGACACTTGTGGCGTTTTCTCGATTCGGTTAAGTCTGACCAGGCAATTGCTCCTTCCAATACACAAGCAGTTCAGGGAGTTCATTGAAGTCTCATCTTCTTATCGTGCGCAGGCCAAGGGTCATCCATTGGGCCACGCACCTTTTCACTAAGCCTAGCGGCTCTGGGCAGCCTGGCGGCATCCTTGGGGTAAGGCGGCGTCGCCCAGACCCCTAGCCGCTATATTTTTTTTGCGAGAGTCACTAGCATCGCATCACCTATCTAAGACCGCCCTTAGTCTTTTCAGAGGTCGCATTGCACAAGAGTGAGACATTCCATGCAACCTCCACACAAACCAAGTTTGTGCATCAACCATCCACCCAAGCGCCCGGCCTCAACTCATCCCGCATTCATGGCTTAAGACGGATACAAGTCCTTCCTTAGCGAATCTCCCACCCCAGTCCTCATCCGCGGGTCCAGCCCGTCCAAATCATTGCTAGCTACTCACCTGCACAAGACCACACAAGACAAATGACCAAGTACAATCCCCGTTGGGGTCAACACATCGCCCCTTCCCGCAATCCTAAGTCACATTTGCCTTTCAATTCCCCTTATGAGCTCCCCTCCCTTTCACACGGGCAAACCATGTGATCAACTCAGTCATGCATTCCGGGAGGATGGTTGAGTCAAACTGACCTCGTCCAAAATCAGCACTCCTTCTTGCTTTCGCAAATGCTCTCGATAGTCCCGTATCCTTTCGTTCATGGTGGCACAAGGGACCGACATCCCTTCCCTTGCCCTCGCTTTCCACCAAGTGAGGACTAAGTTCCTTTCCGTTCGTTCCCTGACAATGTAACAGGTGAGGGTAAAGGTTAGTTACATGCCATGGAAGGGGAAGGGGTGACAAAAGGGTTAGGGGTTAAAGGGTTTAGGAGGAAAGGAGGAAGACGGAGAGAGAGAGAGAGAGAGAGAGAGAGAGAGAGAGAGAAGAAGCTTCCCCTCCTAATCGACCTTGCTAATTGACTTACCCTAACCGATCCTATTCGAGGTCCCGTGCATCCCCAGACTTCCGGAGGACGGGCGTGGGTAA